TTTTTTTTTGCAGAGATAATCAACTTTTTGAAGTACAAACACGGCCACCAACACAAGAGATCTACCCTAATTATCACAATTATTCTGTATACAGCTTAATGAACCATTACAATTCGCCCAACAAAAAGCAACGCTGGTTTGTGGCCGCAATCGAGAAAGCGCGTTTGTGAAAAGATTCAACGCCAGGTAACATAAAATCCGCACGCTTCAAGCCACGCTTTTGCTGACGGATGATTTTTATATGCGTAAAATGGCAGAGTCATTCTGTTGGTCTCACGTTTGATGTTTTGTAATTAGCCATGAACAAAAGAGTTGCTTGTGGGTGGAATTAGAAAAGGATCTTATTTTTAACACCACATTCGATTATGCAAACGGCAGTTCAGAAAAAACAGTCGGAGGAATAAGGCAAATTGGTCGGCGCGGAGACATCGGGGTTGATAAACTCTGCCATTAAACGCGTTAGTGCCTCGATTCCTATTTACAGGCACTTTTTATTAAAAAAAAAAAAAACTATGATAATCTTGTGGCAAAAAATTATACTGCTCCTTACTTATTATCCTTCCATCTAGAACAATAACCTAAGCTTTTATATGATTTCGACTTAAGAGCCGAACTTTAAGTTTCGCTGCGAAACAAGTTTTTTTCTTTTACAGTAGTAATCTTACGCGTATGTAAAAATGTAAAAAAGAAATGGTTTGATCGCTAAATAACGCTACTATATACTCACTTTTACACTCTGTTAAGAATGTCACTTGTAAAAATCCTTAAAAACTATCAGCTATAAATGATCTGGGTACACTCAGAGCCAAGTTAAAAAGTTGTCGGCGATCTTGGTCGGAGAAATTAACACCGATTCCACCGCGTCGTTAAACTCCGAGTTGAACTCCAATCCTACTCCGAGATCGTCGGTTTCCATGTTTGATGAGTTATCTGTACCCTCCAACACGCCCAAATCGACATTTGTGCCTGGCAAGCTGTCGAGAATCTCAGGCAGTCTGCGACCCGGCTCGGTGCGGAACGAACTGTCTTTAGAGTTGTAATTCGCGTCAAACATGGGTTGTGAATCGTTCATGTCCACATCGTGAAACTGGTAATTTCCACCTCCCATTCCGAGGCCAGAATCGAACGATTCATCCCTGATATGGCCTCCGCTTGTCACAGGGGGATCCTGAGCCGATAACAACGACACCTCTCGCGTCAAATTTCCGAGAAGAGAAGACTTCGTTCCACCTTCTTCTAGAATATCACGTTTCAGTCTTATCTCTTGCTTCAGGAGTTCCTGCTGTCGCTTCAAAAGATGTTCCCGTTCTCTTTGGAGACGTTGAAGTTGCATTGTTCGATGGCGATTCATCTCGGGAGGTAGCTGCGGCCCGCGCATGTTTTCTTGATTTCTGCAGTGCATTGCGATTCGCGGATCAACCCAACTTGTTGTTCTTTCAATGTGGTTGATATAGTAAATATCGCCTTCTGGCGTAATCGCCTGCTCCCAGCCATCAGGCAAATTGCCTGCTGGTTGAATGCTGTTCAGGTTAGAAGTTGACTGAGTTTTTCTTGGATCCTGCCATGTTGTTACTTGATCGAAGTGGCTGCGGGAAAGAACAGAACGGTTTTAGTTTTGACGTCGGGAGAGCATCGTATTTACTCTAGTAAGATACGAATTTGGCTACCCGCCATATTGAGTAGTGAAGACACGTATGTAAGGAAACTGGTTTCAGTGATCCGGATTGTCGAAAACAATAAGGCACCAAATCACTAACAAAGTACGCAACGGTTTCAAATACGAAAACTATTATGCTCTAATGGGACGCCTTACACATGAAGCCTTCCTAATGCGAAGAAATTAACTGTTTACGACTTCTGTCGGCGTGCGTGCACTTTAATATTTAAAGTGGTAATTTAACTAAAGTTGAGTTAAGATATTCACAATACAACTAGGTTTGGGACGCTAACACAATAAAAGTCTTACTTCATGAAATATCGTTGGCCATTTGGCGTTGTTCTCATTTCCCAACCAGGCGGCATCTGGGCTGGTTCCTCGAGTAAAGCTGTGTTATCGAAGGAAGTTGATCGCTGATGGACGACGGGGCTCAAGGAGTGGGGACCTTTCAGGCTTGTAGGAACTGTTAGCGATGCCGGCGACGAGTGCGCGCGAGAGTGAGAGATCAGCCCTGTCGGAGTGTCCTGGTCTGGTGACAAAGTACCATCGAGCGGCGGCTGCTTAAAAAACGACGGAGGTAGTTTCCGTAAGCGCATCGGCAAAGAGTTGGCCGACGAGGTCGGATCGGGATGCGTTTTGGCCACTGCGTTCTTGTTGACGACGTGAAAGAGCGCTTCAAGGTCGTTATCGGAATCTTGTCGTACATGGACAACACAGTTGCTATTCTTTCTCTCCATTGTCAGTGAATCGTGTTCGTACTACGTCGTGTGTCTTCTGTGGCACGGTACTGACGCATCAAAAACTGAAGCGCTCGCGCCGTAATTAGTCAAAACTGTTATGAAGCTTGCCAAGGGCAGTATCGGGAATATTATATACATACATTACACACGCTATTATTTCTCGCGTCGCGGGGGACCTGGTTTTCGGGTGGGACGTGACGTAATGATTAGTCGCCAGATTTGGTTGCCATGCCAACTGTAAACTTCAGCCAATCAGCGCGCGCGTCTAGTCAAACGATTGCTTAGTGATGAAAGGCTTCATTGTGTTGGTCTATTTCCGAGATCTACGTAAGAAGTTGTAGTTACGGGGAGAGATTTCATAGCGTGGGTTTTTTCAAAGTTTGCTGCGTAGTCTTCTCTGGGTCTTTCCAGAACTTATGCTCGGCAAGTACTGCTCAGCAACTCGCTTTATTGACGACAGTTACTGACGCGCTCAACAGCGTTGGTGATATTTCTGACAGATCCTCTGATACTCCACAGGGACTAGAATACGCGATACAATGCCAATTACATGTAAACAAGCCTTACCCGATATGCCGCTGTGTGATAAATATCGACTCTAGTGTTTGTGTGGGTCTGTTTTGCAATGTGACAAGGATAGTATACAGCCAGAGCAGGGAAAGAAACTACGCCCGCTTAAGCCGCGAAGAGCTTTTGTGGCAAAGTTCTTATTGCGTGGTTTTCCGACCTGCTTTAGAGACTGTTTCTGTGTTCCCCGGGCTGTGTTCAAATGGCGACAAGGGAGATCACGTAGAGCCAACAATTTACCGGGGGGTTCAGCAAAAGCCATTTTCTCAATTTGCATTTTACATTGTCCCAAATTATTTTCCGCTTTACATATACTACGTGCTATGTTTACCAAAGAAAGGCGTTCTCAAATGTTTTGTTTTAACAATTGATATGGGCTTTTTACGTGGACAATTTTATCCTTCCTTTTTACGCTTTTAAAATTTTTTTCTCCCAGCCTGTTCAAGCCATTCTTGCTAACGATACTCCCCCCTTTGTTGGAACTGTCGCCAGCCGTCTCAGGTTTGTAATGAGTAACACTTGACTTAATTACTGACAGGTCAGTGCACCGGAAGTCACATTGTTCCCAAGAAAAATAAGATGGACATCTACGTCTGTAATTACACAGCTCCAAGCTTCGCCCATGTTTCTTTTTTTGTGTTTTACTTTTCGATTGATTTGAGGGAGGTGCAGGGAGGTGCTTGTTGATTTCGGGAGTTTGTCAGGATCTCATAATACAGAAGGTTTTCTCTTTTCAAATCGTTTTCCCCTCGGGCTAGAACTTTTTTTTTTACAAAAACAACGGTTTAGACTTCCAACTGACAAATCAGCATCGATACACGACTGCTCATTCGGCGCTGAAACGTCTAATGAATCAGTCGAAGACTTAATCAGCTAACTGGAAACGACCAGGGTACATTCACTGTGACGTTCCGTAAAAATCAATATCTTGGTTTATGCCAACAGAGGTGGGTGGCCATCATATCATGCCAGCTCACTGAAGAACAATGTGCCATTGACAGAACACGCAAAATTACGCGCGAAAAGCGTGCGGTATAAGATCACTATCACGCGATCAAAAAGCGAACTTGACAGGCCAGTTGGCATAATCACTCGTGATTTTTTTCTATAACTGCAATTATCGTGTTTTTCAACCAATTTAACGAGTCAAAATGCTCGATTTGTTTCCAGAGGATGTGAAAAAAAATGTATACAAACCCCTACTGTTTTATAGAAATCTATTTGCATGTAGCTAGCGAATAAAAAGAACAGTGTGCAAAACAATGTTTGTGGCCATTTGACACCATGATTAATATCTTGATTTCCTGAGGGCAAAGTTGTAAACCAGAAATCGAAACTCAAGAAAACCCTGCCAAGAAAGGATTTTAGGCCTTATTTTAACGCAAAATTAAATGTATTTGACAATCTTCTTGGTCTTTCCCAGCGTCATCGTGATATCAGGAATAACTGAATCACCATTTCCGGCTACAAAGAATAGCGTATTTTTACAAAACACACAATACAGTTCAATTCGGAAAACGAAATCGCACAATTAGCCGCACAATTTTACTCTTTGTCCTCTTCTTGCATGTATCCTGCTGTTCTTGTTAAACTGCAACACGTGAACGATTAAAAATGCGGCCTAGAGATGATCGATCAGGTCGGCTATGGAAACAAGGTACAGAGTTAAAGAGCCTTCCCTAAACCCGGCTGACACCTAAAAGTAACGGAGCTAAGTGCTTCGATCACGAATTTTCTTGTAACTCTAGAACAAGCTTTATGTGTTTGGGTTTTTTTGTTTTATATCAAACCGGCTGCATGTTGCTAGTAGAATCGGCAAGCTACGAAATAAGTCGTTATGGCAACCGTTTTTCCCACGATCCCGGGAAAACCTTTGAACAATGGACAATACATAAAAGCTTGGTAATGACAGTTGTCAAACAGTCACGAACAGACGTAAACCGCAATCTGTAAGCTGAAAGTACTCTGAACTTCACCCAGTTTTTTTACTTCTAGTTTTGTTGCTTCTGTTAAAGCTGAGAAGAATTGTACACAAGAATTCCGAGAGCAGAGGCTAGTGGCAAAGAACGATTCGGTGCAGTGCAGCAGCGATGTTTACAACTTCCACAAATAACCAGTCTGATAACATAGCTATCTTTGTCTTGCCCAGTTCACGAACTTGTTTTCTTTTCACTTTCTGAGTTCTCTTTTTGTTTTTCCCATCAAAGCATGTTTGTTTTGATTCAAATTGATTAAATCTCACTGAGCATATCAAAGGTGGTCTATCACGGAGAGCAGATCGGCTTTCTTTCAGGGATTTGTTCGCCAGTTATCAAACTTGGAATCTGGCCATAGTTTAGTGGTGCACTGTAAATAAATATTGTGCTTTGAAAATTCAATATGAAGTCTGTCAATACACGTGTACACAAACGTGAGATCCATTATTAGCTTCGAGCTCCCCGCACGGATTGTTGACTTGAAAAGAGACGACAGAGGGAACGCAGAAGAAATATAGTCACGCGAAGGGAACTCGGGAGAAAATTGCCGCGCGCGTAAAAGATATGCCACTCGCGCGCGCGTGTGTTGTCTACCTGCTAATTGTCTATTCAAGGAAGCGCGCAGCTTTTATAAAAGATTGCAAAAACGAATGCGACGACACAGAAACGAAATTAGATAATGTACAAAGCAAAGATATTGCCTGCTCGTTTAGACAAGGCTGCGAGAGCTCTTGCAGGAAATATCGAGACAAACTCGTTTTGCAAGTTTTTTCAACCAAACTGGCCTCTTGTGATATTCACGGGAACGGAGACACTACAGAAAATAAACTATTTTTGGAAAAGAACACTACACAAAATGAACTATTTTGAGAAAAAAATATTGATTCAAGGCCAATAATGTAAAGACATGGCGGAGAATCGTGACCTTGGGAAATGTGTTCTGCGCGCATCGGTGAAACCAATTTGAAATCACTGATGAAAAATCAATTCAACTGCATTTGCGTTTAGTTGATCCAGGCCCCGTCCGCACTATGCCGGCGGAATTTGAAAACGTCTATCATCGCTTACGAAAAGTTTTTCCGTTCACACTAAAACGCAAAGTCGGCGTCTTCAAATTCCGCCGGTGTAAAGAGCGTTTTTGAAAAAGCTCCGTTTTCGTCACTAAGTAGTGTGGACAGAAGGCCTAACCTGGGAAATGAAGCTGCGTTTTTAAATTACTTCGGCGTAGAATGGGCGGGGCCTCATTGCAGTACTAGTCTGTTGAAAAATATCACAAGATCGAGATAAGCCACCCGAAATAGTGCCGGGTGATGTTGATTAATCAGGAACCAACCGTGTGCTGCAAAAATTTCAGCGCAAGAAACTTTTAAAATTGACTTATAGACGTCAGGTGCGAAAGGCATGGTACATATCAAAACAGAACCGTCAAAAAAAAAAAAATGATTTTGAGGTCATATTATTAATGACACTGACGGACTGTCTTATATCTCACTGTTCGGTGAAATCATTTATTGTACAGATTTTTCGTCATGTAAACCAGCCCTAAACCAGGCAGCGTGTATATGAACTTATTTTGTATGTTATATTGTCGCACAGAATGGAATATCTCGAAGACTATTGAACAATTGACAACGGTGAATTCTAGCTTGCGAACACTTTGAATGCAACTGGATTGCTCGCGACTGCTTGCGCTTCGCTGGGGTTCCCGCGCAACCCTTTTATCTTCGCGCCAAACTGAAGTGCAGAATCTTGACTTGCGCCATCGCGGTCTGTTATCTTGCAGGCCAGGTGAGAAAATATGGTTATTTATTTGACCAACGGTCAATACCAAAGCATGATTACACAATCTGGGTGATAAATCAGACAGTTCAGTCGGTGTTTTAACTTTCAAAAGCTGATTTGTACTAGGCGAGTTATTATCCGGTTCCAAAGGATTTGATTTGCGCCGGCGGATAAAACTGCCAAGCGGAAGACGAACGCTTACATTTCAAAACACATCTTTGACGGAATCTTTTGAGACGGAGAAAATAAAGGCTGTTTGTTTGTTGTCTGCTTGACACAAGCCGCAGATAGATTTCTAGCTATCCCGACCTGTATATCTTGAATATAAACTGGACTATCTCCAGAACTGAGGGACTACAGAACCTTGTTTCCAGCTCTTTTTTTATGACCTTTCATTGTCTAAAAAGACTGAAATCCGGCGTGGAAAGCTCGAAGCGTACAGTTAGATGCGAAGTCACGTCTTTCGGGGTAGCGGGCCATGAAAATGATCACACTTCGGTGATTGATCAATATCAGCGGGTTCATGTACCGATTGAAGTTCGCAAAAGGTCGAAAAAACTTAATCCGTCTAAAAACCCGCAAGTCACTGAAATATAGTGACTTATGCTTCAAACATGAAGACTGCTCTGCAGAGAACGGTATTCGAAAACTAACGGATTTTGATGACAATTGAGCGCTTCAAATAAACCGCCGAGACGTTTTATGCAATTGCGTTAAGTAAGTAGAAAGTGCTGTTGACCTTTTCACTTGAATTGGTCAACCGAAACGTGAACGCTGTTACCTTTCCCATGAGTAAATTCAATGAAAGTCGTTTTCAGTTTCAGTGCTATTTTTACACTGTGTAGCAGTGTTAAAAGAAATATGCATTGTCGCTGTTCGTTAACTGTTTATTACCTGTCAGTATACTGATTTTCAAAACGAGGAATTACAAACTTACATTTTGATGAAGGAAAACACTTAAAAAATTGTTGATTAAACCTTAACAGCCCTGAGGGGATAGAAGTTTTTCGAAATCAGTATGTACCGTATACAGCATGAATGATCAGGCTGGTGACGGAATACCTATGTTACGACAATCGTATTGTGAAATACGGCAGTTATTTTACAGTATTGCGTCACTGAAACTTGTTTTAGTCACGAGTGAAGGTCTGCACGTTTTGTTATTCACCACACTGCAAAACAAACCAATTAAACTCTTGAAACGGATACGTGTCAATTACTAAAATGCACATTTATACACCATGACGTAATATGACGTAATAGAAGTGGAACTATGGACGTGTAACTCCTTATTTGGATGTTTCATGTGCGAATCATTTCCGATATCCGAACTTCGCGAAGAATGCCGATAAAACCGTTATGAACTCACTCAGAAAACATCCTAGCGAAACAAATTAGGTACATACATGGATGAGTAGCCTAACCTGAATGGAATTTTTAAATTCCATTTGTAAAGTTAAATTTGGCAGTCAGGTACGTAACACGAACAGGGCAGGGCTTCTAATAGTCATTTTATTGCCCATTTTACCATTCAGGTTGCGGGAGCTGAATACGGCGTTGACGCCCATGACGAACTAACTATCCGTCATCAATCCACTGATGGGGCCTCCCGCCCTGGGAGGCACAGAAATGAAACTGCTGTTAGCCGTATTTTATTTGTTGTGCCTTCTAAACTCTTTTTAAACATTTATACCAAAACTGATACTAAAATCTCAGCTGATAGCATGGATTCCCGACCTAGAGCGTACAATGAAAACTATTGCGGTAATTCAATCCTTTTCTTTTGCGATTATAGTGATTCTTTTTGGAAAAACCCAATTTTTGCGGCAGGTAGGATAATCAGTATAGAGGTCGTGACTTCCGCTTGGTTTCAGACTTCGCCCGTTTTCAAGATCATCGTCTCGTGACTAGAGCCAAACTTGTGAGAAACTACTGACGAACGAGAGAATCAAAATAGGAGCAAAACATCTCAATTCAAAGAACAACTGAGTATAACCGACCGAGTAACGTGGACTATTCTGAGGGCGGAGTTTCTTCATGATTGCTAAATTACACCATGAAAATGAGTCAAGTACAACAGTGCTGAGAACAGAAAGGCTAAACAATGTAAAGCTAGCTATTGAAAACAAAAGGAAAGCGATTAACTTTTGCTCTTCATTTTGCAATCTAGAAATGGTCCCGTTGAAGGTCCGCCAACAGCACCGTTCCCATCCGAACTTTCGCCTTCGACCCAGATCCTCGGGAACCACATAATCACTGACTCGTGCAAAAGTAGTCTTCAATCTTAAATTTCATTTTGAAAAAGTCGAAACATACATTTATCGTTTTGCACTTAGGTCCCGTCCACTTAACGCCGGAGAAATTTGAAAACGCAGCTTTATTCCTATCGTCCACTCTAATCCGTCACGAAAACGGAGCTTTTCGTAAACGCTTTTCAAACCGGAGGAATTTGAAAACGCCGACTTTGTGTTTTAGTGCGGACGGGAACATTTTGAAAACGGATTTTCTCGGAAACGATGACGTTACGATAATCAGTGATGATATTTCCGTTCCCGAGGTTTTCTCACTGAAAAGTCTAAAATGAACGGTGATTGTTGCGTTCTTAAATTTCTCCGGCGTAATGTGGACGGAAAACATTTGATGCGTTTTCAGAGTGAAACCTCCGTTTTCATATCAGCTTCCGGCGTAGTGTGGACGGAGTCTTCTGTGCGGCCGGAGGCGTAAGAAAAGTAGGGCGCAAAAATAATTTTGCGGACAAGTTTTACCGACTCCGCGCGGTACTTTGGTTAGTGTTTTTTAGAGTACTTATACACCCTTACGGTCTCGAAAATTCGAAGAGTACTAAAAGACTGAAAGCTTAGTCTCCTTTCATTGCATAGAAACATGAAACTGCAGTTCAAAAATTATTTTTATGGTGTGCCTCTTGCAAGAAGTCCCACCCTTCTGAACTGAGCTGTTGTTCAATAGAAAATTGCAAAAGTTCGAGAGAAATATAACAAGTGATCGATATAATTGTGAATCCTGAAGCCTTGTAGTCAGCGGTGTAAAGAGACAGAAACACATCCCATCATGCCTTGTTAATCAAAATGGCGGACGACGAGAAGAATTTTACGTTTCAGTTTGTTCCAAACAAAACTTTCCTGGGTTTTGAGTCTTCTGAAGTTAAAGAACTTTTTATGAAGTGGTAAGGGAAAATAATTAATCGTTTGATTTTTGAATGCATGTTGGTACAGCTGTCAGTGAGAAGTTTTTCACACCTGTGTTTGTTATGTTCAGCTCGATCGATCGCGGAGGAGAAAAGCGCGCGAATATTTCAGCTTCTAGTATTTATCAAAACCAATATTTTGATCATCTGGTTTTGCAGGGGAATGATATCGCGAAGTAAGGTGCAAATGTTCTCGTACGACCAGTTATTTCAGGCGTATCAGAAAGACAAATTTGTTTTGGTAAGTTGTTATCGTTGAGTCTCGCCAGGGCCCTGGAAACAGTGAAGACCAACGATCGACGGACCACCCTGGATAAATAACTTAAAGTTTATTTAATTTTTTCGGTTGTCTTTTTCTAGCTGTTGTTTTGAGAACTAACTGTAAACAGGCCAACCGGTGCATCATTAAGGCTAACCGTAGTGATTTTAACCAGGATGCTAACCAGACATCAAGTTTTACCCTGTCTTCTTAGCACTGAATGGCACTCCTGTTAACCTAAAAGGCACAAAGGTTTAACTCTGAATGGTGCACCAGTCAGCCTGTTTCTGGTTAGCTGTCAATAATATTGTGATGGTAACATGAAGTAAAAGGAAAATTATTTGACTGCCAGGCGTGCAGTATTTTAACAACGTTGTCCAGCAGCCAAAAATCTAGACACAGCGTAATTAAAATTTGCATGCAAGTTTTCCAGCTTCTGAAGCTCTAAAGCTAAAAGCTGTAAATTTATTAAACTTAAGTTTAAAATTTAAATTTTTCAGTGTTATAATTCAAGAGCTTTGACAACTTATTTTAATTTCAGCCCTCTTTTGAAATCAACAGGACTTTTTTCAAGATCCTGCTGTAATATCAAGTCTGCAGGTTTGTTACTGTCTGTTCTACATTCTGTTTTAAATGTACAAGGGATAGCTGTTGATAGAGTTTACTGGTTAACCAAGTCAAAGTCAGACCTGAGCTTGAGTTAATGTTTAAGTCACTATTTTTAGGGAACAGCGAATAAAAAGAATTCAAACTCAATCAATGGGGTGCTGAACAAAATACAAATAATCCACCAACATATTTACAAACAATCACATTTACCTTCATTCAGTACATATTACTCTCCAGAAATGCCAACTTCCCAAAACCCTAACCTTGTGATGACGAGATATTTAATGTTATATATATTTTATTTTTTTTTTAGATTGTGTCTCCCTCTGATACATGGGGTCCATTGAGTGAGTCATTTTGAGCTACATACAGAAGAGAAAGAAGGCAGAGACTTTTGATTCTTTTTCAGAACTGCCATTTTTTTATTGACATTGATTGTGTAGTTCCAGAAAGTATCCATACTCTCCCCACCCCACAGAAGGGGTTGGATTTTCCTGTGGGTTGGGGGTTATGTAACACAGGGGTTTCAATAAAAGCCGGTTACTGGCAGTCTACTGCCGCCTGTAGGACCTCTTACCGCTGTCTGTTTGGATTTCAGTGACGAAAATAAAAATGATATTAATAAAAAAAAGCAAATACAACAACAATGGCGACCACTGAAATTTTTAAATGCTACAAAAACGTGGGCAAACTAACGTTCCAAAGAAATAGCGTACATGTTGTTTGTAGTCACCGATCAGTGTTATCAATCACTGTTCATCTCAGGATACCTAAGACATCTGAATGATATTTTGATAATATGATTCAATTTTTCATTATTTTATAATTATTGAATAACTTAATAATGAACCATGGGAGAATCAACGAAAAGTTGAAAATGAGGTTTGGTTTTGTAAGAATATTAGTAGAAAGAATTTTGTTGTAAAGTTTATCTCATTTCATTTTTTTTCTGAAGAGTTAAAAACCAGTTTGTTGCCATGTTGGTACATTTGTTGTACTTGTTTTAAGAAAGGACTTCAAAGAAATTACTGCCTAAGTGGATATCAAGTGTCACTGAGAGATATCTGCCTAGAAAGGTATTCAAAATGCACCTCTTTGCATCAAAAAATTATTAGTTTGTCAAAAACAAATCCTACTTTGTGGTCAATAAAAATACCCATCAACAGCACGCTTTTTGATGGCCAGAACGCTGGAAATTGCATTTCTGAGCTTCTAGATTTCAAATTTTTCTGGGGGAGTATGCCCCCAGACCCCCCTATGGGAAAGGGGCCTTATGGCCCCTTTAGTGGTCACAGCTGTCTATTACACCTTCAGTAGCCGCTTATAACTAATGTTATTGAACCCCCTGGTAACGTAATTGGAATTTCCAGAGGGTTGAGGGGAGGACTTAACAACAGCAGTAGCTTTGTTTGCATGTCCATAGTAATTACAGTATTGCAAAAGTTTATTTTCTAAAACAATAATGAAGTGGAAAATAACAAATTATACAATTAAGCTGAAGAATTTTGATTTGATATTGGTATTAAGCTATCACGTAATACAAAACATGAAGATATGAATTTAATCAATAGTAAATTAACTAAATAATTAGAAGAATTCATCAGTATTTTGACAGTTTTCGTAATGTTGGTTTGTCAAACATCAGGCAGTTGTAAGTAAATTTGATTAATTAAAGAAGGTCTCTTAACGTTGGGTATTTTGGGCAGTGAAAGAGAAAGTGAATTTCGTCTTCAAGATTAGTTGACATGCATACCAGGCATATTCTCTGTTCACAAGGGTTTGCTCTCTTCTTAGAGTGTTCTGAGAGTGCTTGGAAAAAATCCTTTCTGCAGGGGGTAGGAATATTTTTTGGAACCACACATTTATTTAATGTTCACAAAATTTACAGCCCAGCTTTGGGGTGACCCATCTAACTTTAATTTTATTCTTTTTCCATCGTAGGTGTCAAAGCATCTTCTGTTACAGCAGAACCTGTCTCTTGTGTTGTTACATCAATGGACTTTTTTGACAGACTTCAAGAGCAAGGTTTGTCTGAATCATTCACAAGTATCCTATGTTAGTATCTAGGGAGAATCGGATACAAGGGCTAAATTGATGGATTCTGCATCTGAAGGCAAAGTTTGAAGCTAAACTGGAAATTCTGAAGGGATGGCATCGCTGCGGGGGTGGAGGGGGAAGGGGCATGATTCAATTAAAAACCTTCTTTTAAAAGGGTAATGAGTATGGCTACATGTATTTTCTGGAGAGACGCATTTCACTGCAAGTATTTATTCACATTAAAAAACAAACTAAAATATTGAAAATATTCCTATTGATAACAAACTGGGTTAACTACAATAACATTCAGGTAACCATCTTTAGGAACAAGTTCTCCTCCTTATGCCAAACAGTTATGGATGTAAGCCAATGTAAGCTTATAATAGTAACAGAAAATCGCTGACAGTTAATAATATTAAAAGTCGCTTTCATCTAATGCAGAACATGTAATTTAATATAAAATGTTTAAGCAAGCAACCGGAACAATGATCCTGCTGGTATATGTTGGATCAGTAGTGATCTAATCAGCTTTACATATAAAATGAAGAATACAAAAGCAAAAACCGACACATTCTACGTTGTGTCGGTTTTTGCTTTTGTATTCTTAATTTAATATACTCTATTTAACTCAAAAGGTATTGTGAGGGAGTCAGGAAATATCAGAAAGTGTTTTGATGAGTTTTATGAAGACTTTGTCATTTCTGATGAACTCAGAAAGGTAGGAACTATTTTAATTCTTATCCACGAAGAACTTGCTTACTGCATTTGTTGTCTTTTTTATGGTATTAATTAGAAGCACCCAGTTTAACCAGGCCTCTTTATCCCTAACACCCCTTACCCCTTTGTTTTTCCCTCTGTCCTCTTTTCCTTTCCTGTATTCATCCATCTCTTACTCATTAAATCCCTCCCTCTCATTTTCCCTCCTTTCCTTTTCACATTTCTCCCTTTCTCACTGCCGCCATCCATCTTTCCATATTTCCTCCCCTTCCCCTCTCTCTCCATCTCGCTCCTTCTCTCTGTTTCTGTCCATCCCTTCCTTCCCTGCTCCCTCTAACTTTTCACTACCTCTTCATCTTTCCTACTCTCACTCCAAGTCCTTTATCCCTCTCTTCCTCCTTCTCTTCTCTTCACATTCCTTCCAACCTCACTTCTTCTCTCAAAGGTCAATTCCCTCTATGAGATGCACCTGCGGGAAATCATGGTAGTTGTATTTATCATCCTGGACTGGATTCTTATTTGTATCCTGCGAACAGGGTAGGATATTTGTTTAGATGAATACAACTACCATAATTCCCTGCAGGTGCATTTTATAGAGGGAATTGCCAATTGCTCACTATATCTACTTTCATTGAAGCACGTCTATAAAGGGAACGCACTGGTGCATATTAAGAAAATCCTTACATTACATTATAAGGTGTCAGCATTGGCTCCAACATACTGAATTCTCATTTTCATTAAAAGTTCTATTTCATCGCACATGGAGTTTTTCCCACATCTCTGGCCAGGAATAAGCCTTCCTCTGATAATGTCAATATTTTTCATATGGGGAGCAGGGTTGGCGAAGTGTTGAGAATGCCAATGTGGCCCGGGTTCGATTCCGGCCCGGTACCATATGTGGGTTGAGTTTGTTGTTGGTTCTGGCCTTGCTCCAAGGGTTTTTTTCTGGGTTCTCCAGTTTTCCTCCCTCCACAAAAACCAACATCTCCAAATTCCAATTTGACCAGGATAGAGAACCCGTATCAAAACCAGCTCAGGCTGATGTTGCTTCCTTTCTAACATTTTAGGTCTTAATTCTGGAAGAAGCAGAAACATATCCAATATTTAGTGATGCAGACAGAAACGAGTTTATTTTCCTGATTTTCAAGCATATATGTCTTGGAGGCCAAGTTTGTCAAGTAAGTTATTTGAGATTCGTACACTAGTTAATACAAGCTCATTTTTGTGAAGGAGAAGAATGAAGACAATCTGCTGGCGTGACTTACTTGAGAAAAAAGAAAACAAAAACAAGACCGCTATGATATCAAAATTTAATGTTTTTCGCAGCCCATAAGACACTTGGCAACTTAAAATATCATTAAAAATAGCCAATGGAATCCCAGAATAATTTCATCTTATAAGCGATTATGTGAACAGTGTACCTCTTTAAGCAACCAGGGTTGAAAGATCCCAAGTCTTTCTTGAAGCCAAGCTGCTTTCTGCGAAAGCCTTCTTAGTACTAAATTCATTCTGCCGTATCATTTCTTCCAGGAAAATAATTTGCTTTCTGGACTGTTTGTGTTGGTTTGTGACTTTATACTAAATTCAGTGATTTATACTTTCCCATTTTCGTTTAGTATGAAGATGACATAAACCCTTACCTCGAAACAACCAAAACAATTTATAAAGATCTGTTAAGGTAAGTATTGCTCAGGTTCACATTAATGAGTTTACATTAGTTTAAATAATTTTATGGCTACTCTGACGCAGCGCTTTCGTTTCGTCCCGGCCAAGAACTCTTCAGAGACCTTTCTGCTTGACAAACTCGTTGAGCATCGTGAATCTGGCGGTCGTGGAATCCTTATGCGATATAACTTGAAGGCGAGATTGCTGTCATCATTTTGTTAGCGAACGGGACTTGAGTCACGATGTATTATCACAAGCAACTGTCAACTTTCATTGTCATTTATCAACATTAGTTTAGTAGAAAGAAGTTGATTTGCAGCCATTCCAGAAGTGTACCGTTTTTTTTCCCATAAAATTGTCCGCAAATTGTAAGTAAAAACGCCACTAAACACTAGACTGTTCACAGCCTCTAAATTTTGCAAGGTAGGCGGAAAAAAAGCTAGCGAGCGAAGTACCTGTCAAATCTCCCAGTCTACTACAAACATACGGGCAACTAAAAGATCATTTCAGTAGCTTATCGGTTGCGAAGTCCATTGTTGAGTGAAATTGTCAACTGTTATTTTCGGAGACATCCAAATGTCGTTAAAAGCGCAGAAAAGATCTGACCAGGATTTTCGGAAAGGTAGCGACTGCTCGCAAATTGGAATCTTAAGATTTCTTTCCTGAAAAAGGTTTTTACCTCTTTGAAACATTCATCACTAGTTGAAAAAATGTTTCACAAAAATTAGATTTAACTTTCACCTCGGAACTTCCCCGGACTCTCGTGGTAGTTTTATTCGTGGGCGTGTGAGGTCATCTATCACCTCTTAATAGTGATTGCTGTTGATTTTACAACTCTGCATGGCTTACTTTAAACCAAGGTAGTTCCGCAGGTAGAGAAGACAAAATAGCCACGTGGAAAACATTGTACGGTCTCCGGCAGCAGTTTGGTTGAAAAGTTTGGAAAACCATTTTATTTTATTACCGGTTTTAAGCCTTATTGTTTCGCTTTGTTGGCTTCCAGTGTACACAAAGACCCGACTACCAAGAAGTTGCAAGTCGGATCAGTTGTGCTAAAAGTCTCTGCTCAGGTATTGTACGCTTGAAGATGACAACTTCTAAGCCGTTTAGAAAATATGTTTTACTTGTGTAACTTGATCTGACGCTTAGAACTCCGGTGTCTTCAGGTCCAAACTCGTCCACTCCGAACACCTTTTCGGTTGTTGACGGACCACGAGTATTTGTGCGTGTCTGTGTGTGATGTTGAGTCTCACAAGAGAACGACACTCGTAAGGCATAATAGGCATAACACAAGGAAGGATGGTAGTCCGTCGCAGGTTCCCCTTCTCAGTCCCTGCTTCCCAACAGCCCAACAGCATTATGGCCTACAGGACAAGAGGCTTGCCGGGCTGTTTACGGTAGAGCGCTGAACACGTGAACAGGATAGACACTGAAAAACAATAACCTAAGACGCTCTCGTTTTGCACTTTAACTCTGCCTCTGTGGTCGCCACTCGCGGTCTACGCACAGCTATGACTGTCTGTCTGTCTACAGGTTACAGTATTAGAGACAAACCATTTTGAGTCGGGGTTGGGTAATCTTCAGGGGCATGAATGTTTTGTTCTCACCTTTATGTTGTGCATGATTTTATTTGGTGGGCAATAGTTTGTGCAAGATTTGTTTGTTAAGTCAAACACATAACCTGAATAGTAAGTAAAAGGCACTTGGTCAATTTTTTCCCTCATGGCTCCCCTTGGCGATTTTTTTCAGCCGTTTTGGCTGTGCAAAATTTTTTTTGGGAAATTGCTCACCCCCCCTCCCTCCAAAAAATAATAGTCCGTCCCTAAATCACATCCCCCTCCCCCACCCCGAGGTAAATGGGTTGTCGTGGAAAGCACACTGGACACAAACCGTTTCTCCACTCAGTTCTTAACCATAACAGTAAACAATCGAAATAACAAATCCCTAACTATTGTGTCTACCTATTACCTGGGCACTACTTTCGTAGATGAAACTAATTAAGCTTATAATTCAAGATCACCTCTCCTTAGGTATAATTTTTTTCATGCCAATCATGAAGTCTTGTTCACTGCATGCATTATTATTTGTAAGACTGTTCTAAGCAAGTAAACGAATAAAAACGGGCATTTAACAAAGATCATCCATAAAATAAAATAAAAGACTTTATTTAACCTGAAAG